TCAATAAGCAAAAAAAACAAAATGTTTCAATTTTAGATGGTAGAAAAAATAGGTGTTTGAAAAGAAAATTTGCTTGATACATAGGAATTCTAGGCCGCTATGGGAACTAATCATGACACTTCCGCGGGGCGACCTGCGACGAGCGTTCAACTGCTAGCGACTTAGGCCCCGTTCAGGCTTGCCCGTTTACGCGAAAAAACGCACAAATGAAATACGAAATAAAGTCTCCTCCGAGATTTAGATAGGGATCGATTGGGAATTTGGGGAGCGGGTAAGCGGAGCGTCCGGAACAGGCGAATTCCAGTTGAGTTTGATAGGTATTGATTGTGAGAATCGGACGATAGGGGAAATCGCAAGAGCGAAGGGTAGCGAACTCTTCACGTATATAGTACCTCGTTTTCGTCGATCCTCCCTTTTCATGGTTCTCCTGCATGTTTCCGCTTAATCGACACTATTTCATTTTATTTCGCCTCTGCGGTAATTGCTTGGAGGTAAAAAGGAAAAGCAGGGCAGAACATTGACGTCACTTATTGCCGAATATTGTGGAAATTGAAAGGCAAAAGAGGGGTTCACTCCGGTGGCATTGGAACGCTGCTTGGTTTTCCTTCATCGCTGCACCACTTGTCAAAGCTACTTTTACTGTCAACCACAGACAATCGACCCACCTATCTTTAAGCTAATTACAGGCTATAATTATTTGCTATGTAGAACAACCCACAATTTAAAAATGAATTTAAATCAAGTGCATGTAATAACCACGATTTTTATTAGGATTAAATTAGCGTAGGAAAATCATAAGATTAAGTCATAAGAAAAGCTCACGATTTGTTAGTGGGCTCATAACGAAATTTCGATATGGCGCATTGCACAATATCAACGTTGTAGCAGCCAAACAGCCATGTGATCCAAGTAGGGCTAGCATAAAGTTTCCCGAATTCTGAATATGAGATTGCTGTTTTCATCCGGACTTGGACAGAAATAGTAAATCTCATAACATTAGTGTCTTTGGCTTTCCCTTGCATTTAATATTCTGACGGTCTTGAAGCAACAGTCCCAGCAGGGTTTTACCTTCGACACTAATGGTGTGGAACGATGCGCTAGCCCTAGTCAAGAACATAAGAAGTGTGACTGAACAAAAAACTCACCTTGGAAAGCCGCTAGAAAGGGAGCTGAACGGCTTCGAAGTGGGCGTGGTTGCTCAATCGGCTGCAATCCCCTCGGCCGATTCCAACCACGCCCACTTCGAAGCCGTTCAGCTCCCTTTCTAGCGGCTTTCCAAGGTGAGTTTTTGTTCAGTCACACTTCTTATGTTCTTGACTAGGGCTAGCGCATCGTTCCACACCATTAGTGTCGAAGGTAAAAACCCTGCTGGGACTGTTGCTTAACCCTCGTTTGAAGCACCTTCAGAAGAGGTAAATGATGAACTCTCTAATGAACATAACAGTTTTTGGCGTATGGATTTTTATTTGGATTTTTGGCTCAAATCGTTGCGGGAACTGGAAAATGTACCTCTTTTCGTATTATTTGTTGTTCCAAAAATGTACATCAGTGAAACAATTGGTAGCACCATACTTAAGACTGGTATCGATATCTAAATGTAACATACGATTTCACAGATCGAAATTTGCGACCAAATAATAATAACACATAGTCGCAAGCCGGTCGCATTCTGGTGCATGCTAGATCTCTCGGCCTTTCGAATCAGAGTAACCTCGAACAAGCATGAGGAGCTTTTCAAGTAAGACGTATGAGTCATGCCGGGAGGCCGCACATTCGAGTCCCATTCCAAGATGCAGAATGGAACTCGGATGTGCGGCCTCTTATAGAAGAACATCATCAGTTTTAATCTTTCTCTATGGGATACATTAACTAGGTTTCGTATTTTTTTTTTTGTTTATGACTAATAAGAAATCAAAATATCGGTAACATCAATTTACTTACCTGAATAGACAGCTGAACAAGAAAACGTTTCTGCATCTGTTTTGTCCTCTGCGACATACTGCCATTTTCGCGTAGGAATTTGAAAGATACTGTTATACAAATAACTGAGATCAAAAATGCAAGGCAGCACAGCAGAGCTATCGTTATAACAATTTGTCGCAACTTATGCGGGATGAAAATTTGAAGATTAGGAACAGAGAAAGCCGACTTCGCACATGAATATTCCTAAAATGGGATGTAGTCATGAAAGCTTTCTTTGTACATGAAGATGGTACCTGTAAATCAGAATGTTCTTACGGCACCATTAGATCTGAAATGTGCTCATCCGAACGAGTTTGAGCGCGTTTAGGTAATGCTTAAATAGACCTCGTCATCTCGTGAAAACCAACGTATTGGTTCGGTGAGAATTTGAAAGCGGCTGCAATCTACCAATCACTTCAGAACTTTGGTGATCGTTTGTCGGTGGTGTGCTCCGTCGGTCCGCCGGCCAAACCGCTCAAAAAACACCAGGGATACGAAGGGGGCACTCTTGATGTCATATCATGTAGCTTCACTTGCGTCTTATATAAAGCCACGATGAGCGTACACTCGTCTTCCTTCAACATTGGTGCTAGCCGTGCAGCCCGTGATAGAGAGGGAGGCTGTTGTGGGTGGAGGAAGGGTAAAGGGTAGGGGGCCGAAAGAGGAGGTTGGATAATGAGGCGGCAAAGAAGAGAGAGAAAGAGGAAGCGTATGTTTGTTGTGGGTTTTTTGGTTTTGTGTGTGTTTTTTTGTGTTTTTTTGTTTTTGTTTACTTTTTTGGTGGTTTTTTTTTTTTTTATTTTGTGTTGGAGTGTTGTTGTTTGTTAGTGAAGGGGAGAGAAACAGGGAGGAGAACATCGCGCCTGTCATCCCGGAGAGATGGGTATAAGGAGTAGGGAGTATGAGGAGAACTTAGCGAGAACACCGTTTTAAATAGGTCTATATCATGGTTTACTACTCAATCTAACATTGAATATGTATGGGTGATAACACCCTAATGGCTACAAAACACACACAGCCCTCATTCTCATGGGTCTGCGTGGTCACCTGGAGTCGAAGTTAGAGGAGGAGAAAAGCAAAAGGAGAAAGGGAAGAGGGAGGGGAGGGAGAAGAAAGGGAGGGAGAACATGGTGCTGCCATGCGCCGGAGAGAAGGGTATAAGGAGGTATAACACATTCAATAGTGAGGTGGTTAATGGAGTACGTCATGCTGCTATTCCGTGGTTCCTCCCTACCCTGTGATGCGCGCGATAGCGGGCGGAGCAAACCTGGTAACGTAAAGGAAGCTGTGCTCGGAAGCACAATCCCTCGCTCTCGCACGCCAGATGTGCCATGGCAAAAAACAACGAAATACATCATGTTCCAGTGAGCTCAAGCGAAAACTTTACCAGAGAAAATCCCATGCTTTCAGAAAAAAAATCAAAGTGGATGAAAGTGCGCGAGTTTGACTGATTGACCTTTTGAACCTCTTACAGGCGAAAGGTTATCTTTTCGAGATCATCGCCATAATGTACTTATATGTAGATTAAATGATTTTTTTACCGCTTCTTATCACACCGATTTTGAAGAGACTTATGGCCGTTTGAAGGTTGAAAACTTGGCCTGAAAAAACTCGATGGGGAAAAACGGAACAACGGGACGATTTTCCGAAAAAGTGGTCATTCAAAAGAATTTCGATATTCTTTCGAAAGCGTCAATCTTCTAGTTTCTAATTAGCTTTGAAATCTGCAAAAAGTTGATAATGAAGGAAGTTATGAACGTTTGAATGTCGAAAACTCGCGCCTTCTCAAAAATCGGACCACAAACCCCCCAAAACGGAACAACGGGACTATTTTTTGAGAAGTGATCGCTGGAAAATTTTCAGGTGCTTGTTCGAAAGCTCTAATCTTCTAGTTTCTAATTAGCCTTAGACATTTGCAAAAAGTTGATTATGAAGAAAGTTATGAATGTTTGAATGTGAAAACTCGCGTGTGCACAACAAAACGGAACAACGGGACAGTTGTACGTTTACATAAGTTTTTTGGTGCGTGAACGCTTTTTAGAAAAACAGAGAAGTTCCCAAATCTTTGTGTCCCATCTCATGAGACCGCTTTTGAAGAAAGCACAATCACGATGAAGAAGTTCGTATCGCAGGTACATGCTGCAAGGTTCAGCTATTCAATTTATAAAAAAAGGAGATTTGAATGAGATTGAGAGAGATGAGATTTTTCGAAAAGAACTTGGTTGATTTCTGAAAGTAGAAATCTCTGCGATTACTACCATTGCCTCGATTCACGTCCTCTGAGCGAGACAGAGCGCGCGGACTTATCGCTGTCCTTGATCCTAGCTATGAGAAGATCCTCGCAAAACGTGGAGCGTTTAAAAGTGACGAGATTCGCAGGACTCAACTATTTCGAATTTTTTCCAATGGAAAAATTTTCCTTCTAGCTATTGTTTATTACTTGTGAGCATATAAATATCATTATGGCGAAATTTGGAAGCTATTCGATCACAAACAAAGAAACTAAGAAGCTTTGAAAATTGGCCCACTTCTTAGTTTTTAGCTTATGTCGAAACAATTCCAAATTTCTTAGATATGCCGAAAAAGTTTATGATCTTGCACAACATTATATCTAACGTTTTTGGTGAAAACTTAGGTCGTTTTTGTTAAGAATATGCCAAGTATTTTAGAAATGATTGACACTTACTGGCAGTTTGCGGAGACCAGCGCCGATTCATTGTTGCACTTGTACACAAATACTTGTAATGCTAACAGCAACACAATAAAGCCTCAAGCTATAATTAGGAAGGGAGGGTCGTCTGTAGTAATCTCTACAGCGGGTAGGAAAATATGCTGTTGCAACGGTAATGCAGACATTTGAGTTTGATGGACGCAATTACCACTGCCAGGGCCGAAAGGGTTAAGCTTCTGGTTAACTGCTGATGGAGGTGCAAAAGCAAAACGGTTGATATGGCTTTTCCTTCGATTTCCTTTCTGCAACCCATAAAATTCGTTAAGAAATTCGTTGCTGATGAGTTGAGGGAAGAAAATCGAAATCTGGAAGGAAACTTTGACTTTTTCTCCGCTCACGTTCACTTGTACGCGTACAGTAATGTAACCATGTTGACAATACCTTCTCGATCTTGTTCTGTTTGAAACCACGAAGGATTTTTTCCGGAATCCACTAGCTGTCACCGTACTGTGCAATTAGGGGGTGGACACTGGGTTTTAAATTCACTAATTTTGAACCCATTTTGAATGTTTCCACGCTTACGAGCGTAGGCGAAATGCGTGATATTTTCAAAAAAGTAATTACTGAGGTTGATCATGATCCGAAGATCTGATCAAATCAGTTGATTTGAAGAAGGGTTTGAGCCCGAAAAGTTATCAATGAAGCTTTGTGAGAGAAGAGCTTCCGAATCACACTCGTTCCAATACCTTCTCTGCCCATATCCTGGCTTCTGTTTGATCCGGCAATATACCAAATACACCAATGAAATCAGGAATGATATAGGTTAGAAATATGACAGCACTCTTGTAGATGTGGCCTAAATAAAGCGACTGTCATTAGAGCTTCACAGCTGTGGACCCATTGCTGGTTATGCCACTGCTGTTCGCGTCGATGCTGTTTTTTGACCATCTCTTGACTAAACGTTTTCGTTCAATTACCCAAGTTTGAGGTGGAAAGATGACGTTGGGTGTTCGTATGTAGCCACTGTGGCTTTTAATGCTTTTTAATTGTTATTTGGTTGAAAACATCGCCTACCCCTACTCTACTCAACTCCTTTCCTCAAAATCATCGCGTACTCTCGTGCTAGTGTTGTCATGGTCTTGAGCTGTCTTAGTTTTTAGAGACCTGGAAACCTGACCTGTCATTTGATGAAAAAGAAGGGAATTGGATGCGATTTGAATTATTGTGTGTACGATTTCGCGGTACAAAAAGCTAAGCTGATGCGAGAGTGTAGGGCTGTGAGGAAAGTTGGGCTTGAGGTTTGCGTTAAATTCAAAAAGCCAGGAGCCGGGTGGAGCGCGATTAGTGTGCGGCGCTGATTGGTAAATAATAAATAGATAGATGATCCAAATCCACATACCGCGACTGTTGATCCTCGAGAAATGATGAGCGGGGGTGATAACGTGACACCGATATAGGAAAAGATTGATTATGGTGGCACTGAAAAATGAACCAATCTGAATAACCAAACATAACAGAAAAGTGAGCGGTGATGGATATCCATGGCGCAATAAAAGCAGCTGGATAGCCCATCGGTATAGGAAAAATATCACCGGTAGGGTAAGGGCCAGATACACGAAATCGAATACAGTAGATGTTAGCTGATAGATTAGCAGATACCATTTGTAGGCGCCCATTTGCATTGTTGATTTGTAGAGAATGCAGTATATACCCAGCATATTCAATGGAACAGCCACAATGGAAAGCGAATGCATGAAGACCAAGTAGAAACCATTGCTTAGGTCAAAGTCATCGCATTCAATCATTGAAGCGAGGTAAAGAGGCGTGTTCGAAGCAACACATATCTATTTGAAATGGAGCATAAATGATTACCTCGACTACGTAGCCCCGGAATACACCTGCTACTTCATTCGTTCCCAGCGAATTGGAACTTGTCATCAAGGCCTCGTCGATCAACCCCTGGTCAATGTTCAACGAGAGAAGATCGCATTCATGAAACAACGGCTGCGAGGGTGTCTGGTGAGGCTCTGGTGCATTTTGAAAATTCCACAGTTTTTGCTGTTGTCTCAGCAAATAATTATGGCGCTCATTGCGCTAAAGGGCTACGAACATGCTAAAGATTGGATGTAGTTGTCGTAGTTGTCGCCACCAATATATTTATATGTGCATATATTCGTATATATTTGCAATGTAATATGTTGCCTATTTATTATGTTTCATGCTCATATCAGAAGTATCTGTATATCTAACTATATTGCTTGCTCGATAGCAGTTCGCGCACGTCATACACTTGCGCTCACACTCATACCCATACACATCAAACCGTATGCTTAGCATAGCATATAATCAAATCGCCAATCCCTTGTCCATGCGTATTAGCTCTCCGTTCCGCAGACGATAGACAACCTACTCATGTTCAGTCCAGTCGGCATGAAGACGTAGGCAGCGTTCAGTGGAGCAGAGAAGTAGGCCCACAATAGAATAGAATACAATGCCCAAAATCAACTAGAAAGGAAGACCTCATGCAAGTTTTTCGCCAGCTTTCATTCCCTTTTTTTACTCTTCGTCAAATCACGCAACACCATGGACCACAATTCATGTTCTATTACAGTGGAATGTGTCTTTATTGAGAACAGAAAAAGGTAATCCTTCCATTCGTGATGAGCTACGCATTCAGTTTTATGTGAACAAGCACCACTTAGAGAACATATTTATTTGTTTTTCGGAGAGATTCTGGTGTAGAAA